AGGACACCGCTTCTGCTTATCTTACAGCTGCATATGTCAGTTTTTCTTTTTATCGTCACCATGTTAGTTTGCAGAGATATTTTTGCTCTTGCGACTTTTTGATTGCAGGTGTGCCGGAACATGCAACTGGATACTAAAACAAGCCAACTAACATTCCCATTGTCTCTGATCAGGATCAGGAAGGCTCATATCTCACATCTGCATGCATTCATCAAAGAGTCAATAAGACTACACCACCCACACGACTCTGCCTTTACACCCTTTACACACACATTTGTGGCCTAAAAGGATCAGGCTTTCCTCTTGTACAGTGCGTCTCTCAGTAAAGCTGCTCTTTGGCAGGAGAGGCCAAGTGGGAGGGGTCAGTTTTCCCCAGTGGGACCTAAACACAGAGCTCCGTTTATGGCCCGGACAGGAGGAACACACATCGGCCTTTCTATCTTTTACATTTCCGAAGGCCTCGGTTCTGTGCGAACCAGGAGGAATGCTGCAGGGTTTTGGGTCTAGACTGGGTTAAACCAACAGGACTGCTCCTTCCTTTGAATAGGCCGTTGGTGGGATTGGTGAATCTCCTCAGTGGAGGAATTCGAGCTAACAGCTGAGACAGTGTTGGCTAGAATAGCTCATGATTTGAGCCCATAGCTTCAGAAGTTGTCTACAAAGACATTTTTCTTCACTTGTGGAGGCACTTCATTTCTTCTGCAAGCGTCAAAAATACAGGCCTACCTTTTTCCCCTCCAACGTCGGCGCGCTGTCCCGTTCTCTGCTTCGCCCGATATCCAGCTGTTCAGCTTTACCAATTGAATCCATTCAATTCCCTGGTATTTCCATCTGGCTCATTGTTAAATACCCAATAAGAAAATTGGGGATTATAAATTTCCTCTCTTGGCCGAGTAATGCCACATGAGCAGGGGGAGTGACGACACACAATGCACTCTTTCAGGCCAGCCGATGTGCCATCTCAGCTTGTTGCGGCTTGTTGCCAGGTATTTGTCAGTTTCAAAGTAATGTCAGACGTTACCTCTGCTGACTGGCGATTCATTTGAGAGGAGCGGAAGAGATGGCTTTGGGAGTGGTCTTGTTGGAAATGTTTACCTGAATCGCTGGTAGTTTATAGGAAGTGGTAATGTCTTCAGAACAACAGGTCAATAAAGCAGTGTACTGTAGCAGAATGCTCCCCTCACTTTGGTAGCAGCATCTCTGACTCTGTTCAGTCCGGTCTTAAGGCGTCGTTTGGCGACCTCATTCACACTGAACATCAAGAACAACAGAATTTCAAATGGTAAAATTGCCATCACAGCGATTAGTGGATTTTCTTGTGGGAACGATGTAGATATGTGTAAAGTATAAACTGCTACTCAATAGGGATGCCACGGTGAGGAAATATTCCCACCGGTTAATAAATCATTTTTATTACACATTTTACTTGAGAAGATACTCGTCGATGAAGCTGACAGTAGTAGTTGTAGTAGCTGTAGTAGCAGAGTGCTTACTTTGATCTTTAACGTTGGATTGCTGTGTTCCTGGCCTCTACCGTCGAGCTTTCGCTGCATGCCTGTATTTTTGACTTCTGGAACACGCTGTCTAGTGGAATCACATGCATCGTCTGGAGTGACTGCGATTAGATCCGGTGGCCGCGCCGCAGCTGAAGCCAGGTGTAATCCAGAGGTGGTACTCTTGGGGGTGTGTGCAGATTAAAGGCGTTGAGGGCGGTTAAGCCCGTCAGCAGTGACTCGACGAAAGCCTTCCTTACTTTATGCTGGAATGCTTACTTGACCACGGAGGTGAGAATGACCTCAGGCACAGATCACACCAAGAAGCAGTGCAACAGTCGCGTCTGCTTCAAGAACGCCCCAACCGCATCGGGCAACACAGCTGATGAGCCTGTAGAAGAGGGGTGCGTGCTCAACATGGCAAATATAACTGAAATGAAAAGGGATTCAAGCAGACGTCAAGCTCTTACTGTTTGTCTGTGAGGGATGTTTTAGATGATTTGTCCATGACCAAGGCTGAGCCTATGTATTTCTCCTTTGCCAACAATGCCTCAAACAATAGACAAATAGAAAAAGATTTCCAACCATAACCCTAATAGAGCACAACTTTGCAGACAGTTATAAGACAGCTGTTGATGGTTCAACTACCTGAATAAACATGTGAACTAAGCGTTCCGTGAGTGACCGAGCTAAGATAATGAGGTAACCTGTTTGCTAACTGACTGTTAGCAAGCTTGCTAGCTTGGAGAGCTTTACAGCATTTTCCATTTTCAAAATATTTTTATTGAATAACATGGTGTAACTGTCCAAGAAGAGGCCCAGAGAGAATCAGAATCAGAACCATTTATTGCCAAGGTATGTTGCACATACAAGGAATTTGACATGACTAGCATTAGCTCGGCTATATTTAGCATGTTAGCAGTTTGCTAGCTACAGCGGCACCCACCAACATTGTTAGTTTAGACCATAGACTGTATATAAGAAGTGTACATAGTCATCGTGCCGTCAACCATTGGTTTGTGGACTGCCGTTATGAAGCCTCGAGTGCGGCAATTTCGCAGCCGTCGTCACCTTGTTTTTTTTTGCAACCGATGAACAGAGTTACCATATTTGGAATGTGGAGGAGTGACGTAGAGAGATACGGCTCTAATAGTGTCAGCGACCTGTCAATCACAGTAAGCCCGCCCTAAAGCATACTCCTTTTTAAAGTCTATTTGACTCTAAATGGACCATAAGTTACTAAATGAACATCATGCTGTATTGAAGAAGACTTGAAACTAGAGATTGAGATCATAAACTCATGTTTACAATGTTTACTGAGGTAATAAATCAAGTGAGAAGTAGAGTAATTTTCTCATAGACTTCTATAACGATCAGACTTCTTTTTGCAACTGGAGGTTGCCGCCTGGTATTATAGACACTACGTCCCCATAGTGACGTATTGTCCACTGAGACTAAGTTGTCCACTGTGATGAATAGAAAGCAGTTGGCAGTAATTTTGAGTGGCACTAATTCAGCGTGAAATTTCACTTATAAGATCTACTTTGTTTCCCTCATATACTCATTTATTCCTCAGTAATTTGGTCATAAACTGCACATTCAATACTGTACATGTTTCATTGGCTGTCTCCACCGTGAGTGTGTCAGTGAGTTTACAGCTCATAAGCTGCTTGGCACACATGACTGGCCCGATCCCACCTTAGTGTGAAAAGAAGCACACACATACACACACACACACACCCACACACACACACACACACACACACAGACACAGACATGGGTCACTCAGCTGAGTCTTCCTGTAGGCTCAATATTGTGACACCCCTCTCTTGTCATTATTGGGCCCCTGAATGAATGTCTCTAATTAGCATTAAGTCCCATGTACTTGTAAATTTATTTGCATAGAGATGACAAATGTTATTGCTGCCTCGGCAATTCTGGAACTTAATGTCTGCATAAAGTGCAGCGTGGATATGGATTTTTTAATGAGGCTATTTGAAAGCATTGAAAACATTCTGAAGTTAATGGGACTTTTACATTAGTTTGAATGATGACACTGCAGAATGACCGTCAAAAGATCTGTGAACTGAGCAATTGAAACGTTGCAGATTCCAAACTTGCAGCTTCAGGTCCTTGTTTTGCAGATATCTCTTCAATTATATTGTGTAAGCATTGGCAAGAACTTGTGTGTGTTTACCGTCTATGAATTGTGCCTCAGGCCCAGAACCAAATACAGTATGTTGTCCATTCAAGAGTCATCTTGAATGGACAACATATTGTCTTGGGGTGTATCGGAAAATGAGTCATATTAAATGTTTCGTAAATTGCTGCAATGCACCTGAAGGACATACGTTTGGCAATTTCCTGAATAATTGTTTCATCACTTCATCATTGTGAAAGTATTGTTTTAATGAAGATGTGAAACCACTGGCAGGGGCTGGCACTTTGAACAAGGCTTTTGTCTTAAGACCACTTCCGCATTTTTGGGAAATGTGGGTATTCAGTTCTCTGTCGCAAGCCAGATGAAAGGATTGATACCAGTCCTGTGTCTGACCGCTCGATATATGACGCAACAGTACAGCCATTAGCTGGTTTGTGCTTCCTTTAGCTTAACTAAGAAATGTTTAGTTAGTGATAACTAGTGAGCTTTAGAGGTGCTGGTTGGCATTTAGTAATTATTTAATGGGCAGATATAAGAGTCATATCGATCTTCACATCTAACTCTTGGTGAGGAGGCCGATAACTGCATATCCCAAATTCTTCCTTTCAATATCAATTGATACACAGAAGGAAGTTCTTCTCCTCCCTGTTCCTTTGTGTGGCAGCAAACAGAACAACCCATCGTGACATTGAAAGCAATTTAAGAAGCGGTTGGTAGACGCCGACATTTCGGAGAGGTCACGTCCCATTTTGTTTCAAGCTACATACATAGGTTCAGGTAGTGAAGTGCCCAATAGCACTGTAGCAGAATAAAACTGTGGAAATAACAAACCAATAATAATCTATGCTAGATGTTTTACTGCAGTTTGCTCTCTATATGTTCAAACTGTTTAATATGAACCCTTTTCCAGTATTAAAGTGGTACACCACGCATTATCTATCTTTGTTGCCTATAGACTTGACAAGTGGATGTGAGGTTGTGGTCAATTTGGATTCATGTTACCTGGATTCCAATCATGACCTGCATTTATATATCTTGTTAAGATCACGTCTTTTCTTTTTTAACTCAATATTTTGCCTGATAGTCAATGGTTTGTGCCTATTTGCATTTTTATTTATTTTCTTGTCTTCCAACTTCTCTGCTATTCTTTAACTTGTGTTTTTCTTCTTTGTGGACCGCATTGTTAAGTTGAATAAACAGTAAGTGCTATCATTTCATAATGCGCTATTATGGGCCCTTACGTTATGTTAAGTTTGATTGGTTTGATTGTTGCTTTAAGGTAACAGGAATTTGCTTTGGAAGCTCTTTCAGTCCGATTTCATGACAGATGTGTTCTGGTTCCTCAGCCTCGGAGCCGGTCGGCGAAAGAAGCAGTGGGCAGAAGTCTCGGAGGAGCCCTCTACAGACGCTTTATGATGGAGACCAGGTCAGTCCTGTCCAACCACAAACAGTCTGCAGTACAACTCATTACTAAGCCCAGCCCTGAAATCCTTCTCCAAAGTCTTACTCATCTTCTCATGGCTCGCTCATGTATATTTAAAACATTTAAATAAAAAGTGCTATATATTTTAGAATGAGAAACTCAATTTAAGCTTTGATTGATTCAGACGAGCAACAGCAAAGGTAATGAAGGATGGACAATGTGTGATACTGATTCCGTGTGTGTTCCTGTTGTGTAAGGACAGAGCCTGGAAAGGCCCAAACAATAACTGGAGGACATCCTTAACCACCAGCAAGCCTGGCTAAATGTTTCATGTTTCATGTTAAGTACAGTAGGTTTGAAGAGGTTTTAATTTCCTCCTGCATTGCGTCTAAGACAGATGAGCATTTGGACCTCCTGTGGAGTTTTTAGCAAGTGAATTTGAATCACCTTTTCATTTTGTGATATTTTTGTGATATTTTGTGATATTTTTGTGATATTTTCCATGTCAAGTACAGTTGCTCTGATTCATCTGGCAGAAAGAGAAAAAAAAGGTCAGCCATCTTTGTTGAATTACACCGCTGACATTTATGGAGGAAGATTTAACGGTTTGAACAGGCACCGTCTGACTTTAGACAATTAGGAGCTGCGTGATTTAAGAGCTGCCTTTGATGTGAGCAAGAGAAGCATTTTTTTCATGTATAGATACATACATGCTCATAAAAAACAATGACATGAGCAGTTGTCTACTGTGGGCACATAAAGAATGGATTACCAAGTGACCTCAGTATTGTACAGTACAGCATACAGTGTAAGTCTGTGGAGGCTACGAGAGGGATGATCTGACTAACTGACAGACAGTTCTGGAGAGTATACTGGTGCCTTTAGCCTTGTTTTGCTGATTTCTACTGTCCTATAGTACATCCAATATATGCAAGGAGTTGAGAGGGTTGTTTATAATAAAATGGGACGTTGGGGTGTCAGGCTATCAGGGAGGGAGAGAGAAACAGATTTGACTGGAGAGGCAGAGGCAGGAATGTTGAAAGGTCTCTTAAAGAGCACAAGGTGACCATTAAAGATACAGTTTCCCTGGGATTGAAAGTTATGAGAAACGTATAGATTTTATATACCACCGCTGACTTTATACAAGCCTCTGGACTCCTTTAGAAGTCCGATCAGCCGGCATCATGTTAATACAGTACATCCACGTCTGTCACGAGTTGGCAGAGACGGGAAAAAGGGAAAACAGATGGAATTGCACATTTGTTACTCCTCAACATCGACGAATGTTTTGAGTCGCCTTTCTTGTCTGCGCAAAATGACTGTTAGCTTTTGAAAATGAGAGGGTTTAAAGATGTTCCCTGACGAAACGCCCCTGGGTGGGGCTCCAAATAGTCACTTTATCCCTCCATCTGTAAACCCGCAGAGCACACAGCTGCTCCCAGTTAAATCTCCCTGTGAGGAGGAGGAGGAAGGTGTGCATGCCAACAAACAAACCAGCTCCAGCAGGCATCAATTACTTTTTAATCGCTTGTGGTATTTTCTGTTACTGTCCACTTAAATTAATGAAAACTTTTGGATTGGCTTCTTTAACATCCCCAGCTACATATAACATATTGTGTTTCTTTAAAAAAAAGATATACTTTTTGAAACTCTCAATATGTATCCCTTCAGATTCCAATCTTGCATCTCAGTTGCTTCACTGATATTGAATTTTAAGCTGCATTTATTTATTTCTGGCTACTTTGGGACAGCGGAACACGCTGTAGATAGAAAAGTGACCATGTTATCACCGTATAATCTCATTGGTTATGTCAGCAAAACAACAGGAAGTAGCTTTAATTATTTGGAGTCATGTTGCTGGCCACCTGATGAAATGAAGTCCAATATCCACTCTTCTTTTAGCTTTTTCTCCTGAGAATATCATATTTGGCTTTTCAGCTGTTAAATGCTCCGATGTGTTCACTAGTCTGTGTGCCGTTTGGTGCTGGGCTGGTTGTGTACAGTGGATTTATTACGGCTGCCAGCTGCTGCAGCTGAAAACTATGTTGATGAGAACAATGAAAGTGAATTTAAAATGGAAATGTTTGGGCCGTTAAACCAAAACAGACAAATAAAACTGCCATATTTTGTGCAGCAAAACACCTTGTATGATTCGAGTGCTCTTTAATCTAATCTTTCAAATCGTAGGATAAAACATTCTACCTGATTCTTTTTTTCTTTACACTGCTTTCAAAGGATCGTGCACAGACTATACTCCAGGGCAAACAGGACATATGGATTTTATTTGCCTGTGAATCATGGCTCAAGTGCAGCTTTTCGCTACATTTGACCCATGTGCATGTGCTCAACATTCTCAAGAAGGCTTTGGCATTCTCTTTGAATGGCATGTTTTGTCTTGTGGTGCATCCTGGAGGCTTTTTTAATATCCTCGGAAAAACTGTACAGAATCCTTCCTATTGCTCACATGAAGGGATTAAAGTTCCGAGAGTGTTGTAAACGTATAGTACACAGCCGGCTGCTTGCGAGAGCGGTCAGTGTTGGCGCTCCAGTCTTTGTCCCGGTCCCGGTGTATCCTTGCTGATCCAATGTCTGCCACTACAGCCACACATAGTGTCGGGCACCGAGTCAAACGGAGAGACTCAGGGCTCCGACCGCTGCAGTGGTGAGCCAGGCTGAGTAAATGAAAGGAGTAAATAAAGCGTTTGTGCCACGAGGAGGCCAAGCTGAACCGGCTGACCCGTGATTTTATCGAGGCAGGATGTGGACGTCAGGGGATGGACTGTGATTAAGACCTCCTAGTGGAGAAGTATCTGTCAGTATAATTACTCTGGGAACTTAGTAGGTTATTGGCAATATGCAGGGTGTCTGCTCCACTTGGCTAACTTTTAAAGGCTGACTTAACTTACAGGAGCTTTTCTCTTGTCGCAAATGCTTAAAATCCACAGAGTTTGATCAAAGCCTGTTTACACGTCTTGGGGAGTACTACTGCATATGTGAAAAAGTCGTATAAAGCCCTTAGTGTCTCCATAGGGAGCTGTGTGAAGTCGGATGAATTGCCTCAAGTGATGTCAGCGTTGGTTCGGGCTTGAGACTACAAAAGATTTTGGGGTGTGGAGTTAAAAAGATGTGAGATTACCAGACCTCTGTAGTATGCTCCTCATCTCTGAAGCTAGCGGCTCCAGGCTACATTAGCCGCTACCAGTACAACACACCAGGATCTCCGATTGAACATTACGGTTAATGTAGGCCGCATGTTTTTATCAGGAAGAATAAAATAAGGAATAAAAAAGACAATGGTGCAATGCTAAGTGGGTGTAGCACTTTTCAGAGAGGCCAGACGACAACTCCCTGTGTTCCAAGCCGGAGATACACTCAAAGTCTTCATATAAGAAGTGGACAAAGTCGTCGTGATGTCACCCATTGGGGGGTGGACTGATGTTTTGAAGCCTTGAGTTGGGCATTTTGGCCATCGCTGTCTTTGATTTTTCCCTTCGCCATCTTGGTTTGTTGCAACCAGTGATTATTATCATATATCATATCAAGTTATCATATTTGGACTGCAAAGGAGTGATGTAGAGAAATCGTACACGGCTCTGGTAGCAGCAGCGACCTGTCAATCACAAGGTAGCCCCTCCCTAAAGCATCCCCTGCTTTATGGTCTATTTGACTCTAAATGGACCATAATTTACTAAATGAGCATCATGCTGTATTGAAGAAGACTTGAAACTAGTGATTAAGACCATAAACTCATGTTTACAATGTTTACTGAGGGAATAAATCAAGAGAGAAGTAGAGTCATTTTCTCATATTTTTGCAAACAGAGGAGTCGCCCCCTGCTGGCCATTAGAGAGAATGCAAGTTTATGGAATTTTCTTTTAAAAGTAGACTAGTGATTCAGGTTTTCTTTGATAATTACTACTTCCTGTTTAATTCTTATTTTCCTTTTTCCTGTAGGTGGAGTCAGCAGTACAGGCGATCCATCAGGGCCGACGGGAGGTGTTAGAAGAAGCCTGCCGCTCCTACACCCGCAAACGCAGAGTCCTGATCCCCGAGGACCTGAAGCACGTCATCGTGGACGACCAGCACGGCTTGCTGTACTGCTACGTCCCCAAAGTGGCCTGTACCAACTGGAAGCGGGTGCTCATGGTTCTGACGGGGGTCACCGGGTCCCTCCGAGACCCACTGGCGATCCCTGCTAACGAGGCCCACATCCCGGGAAACCTGCGCAACCTGTCGGAGTACTCCACCTCACAGATCAACCAGCGCCTGCGCTCCTATCTGAAGTTCGTCTTCGTGCGCGAGCCCTTCGAGCGGCTGGTATCCGCGTACCGCAACAAATTCACGCGAAGCTACAATACCGCCTTTCATAAACGATACGGCACAAAGATTGTGCGGCGGCACAGGCCGTACCCACAGCCGGAGGCTCTGGAGAGAGGGAACGACGTCTCCTTCGAGGAGTTTGTGTATTACCTCGTGGACCCGGCGACCCAGCGCGAGGAGCCCTTCAACGAGCACTGGGAGAGGGTGCACTCGCTGTGCCACCCCTGCCTCATCCACTACGACGTGGTGGGTAAATACGAGACGCTGGAGCAGGACTCCCGCTACGTGCTACAGCTGGCTGGGGTGGAGGACCAGGTCAGATTCCCCGCCTCATCCAAGAGCACCAGGACTACCGGAGACATGGCGGCCCAGTTCTTCCACAACATCAGCCCCTTCTACCAGAAGAAGCTGTACAACCTCTATCGCATGGACTTCCTGCTCTTCAACTACTCAATACCAGCCTACCTCACGTTTAGATGAGGCTGGGACATCGCTCATCCACGGACTGGACTTGAACATGTGGAGCCCGGACTTCTAAAAGTACAGTTTTTGAGCTGTTTCTCTGTGCGGGCCTTATTACTGACACTGCTGATACTGTTGAAGATGTATACTGCTTAGAGCTCCAAAGTAAATCGATTTTTACAGACTGAAAAACTTCTGCAGAAGATACAAACAGGAGAGGACATTTCATCACGAAGTGACACTTGTTGCCGGAAGAAGGCAAATTATATTTTACTGTAAATGGTGATCCAGCGGACATTGGTCACTGCCTTTGAAAGTGTGAAATACCATTTAATTTCGCCATCTGCTGTTTCAAAAGTGTACTTCACATGACAAATGTAATCTGCAGTAGCTGAATGAAAGTATTAATACCTAAACACTAGCCCTATTTTTAGCCCTCTGCTCGAAAATTGCATACCCATACTCAAAAGAGTGCATCTTTGCAACCACAAGGTCTATTTGAATAATTGTTGTAATAAAAGGGAACACTTGTGAGATTTGTTCAGATGTGTAAATATCAGTGTATAAGTTACTGGTTAAGAGTAAATGAACATGGCACACAGCACAAATTGAAAAGTTTCAGGTTCGCCTGAAAAAAAAAGCCCTTTTATTATTATTTCATTGAAATGATGCAGCTACCAGCCTAAAACATCTCCCAAATCATAGCACATATATGTGAACAGTCTCTCTGCAAAGTTTTACTTTGATAAAGTGAAGCAGAACAAAATGAGAGAGGTTTTAGTACAGAAAGTTTAGGCGAGATTTCCAAAATGTGCATTTGGGCACATTTGGGCACCATGTGTGCCATTTGAATTTCCTCATGTACTAAACTACATATTTCACTTGTATATTACTAATGGTGTTCAACACATCCAAATGCAGCAATTTCTGGCTTTTTTTTTGAAGAAAAAAAATTATATATATATATATATATTTTCCCATTCAAAATAACACACAAATCAACTGAATATTGAATCCAAATGAAACAGATTTATTTTTACTGTAAACATTTGAAACAATAAACTGTAAAAACCACACCAAAAAAACACACAAAAAAACAAGGGGAGTGTCAAATGTGGGTCCTGGCTGGCATGAACCTGAGAGGGTCTGGTTGGATGCACTCTATGTTGTGCCACCTGTCGTCGTCCTCACTGTCTGTTGTTGACCTTGGTTTTCCATGCTTGGTAGCTGGAGCAGAAGCTCCCAGAGAGGCACGCCGTCTCTTCTGTTGAGTGGTCGGGGGTGATGCTCCGCTCCACTCTGAATGAGATGCCAACGACTGTGGGTGTGAAGCCATGGGGGGAGGTGATGCGGCTGGCTGAGGCTGTGGACGTCCTGGAGCTGATCGTTGAGCTTTCTTTTGTCCTCGTTGTGCTGGCTGTGAGGCACTTGAAGTACCTGGCACACTGGCATGGGGGGGGGGGGGGGGGCTCGTAATCGTCATCACTGTAAACACGAATGTGGAAGAAAAATAAATATGTGCATTCAGTGGTCTGGTTCTGAAATTGTAATACATGTAACCATAAAAGCAACTTCAGGCCCCCCCCACCCACACACACAAACCTCCATCACACACACTACAATCAGATTTAGCTAAACTAGGATTTTGGCCTGAACAGGCTGAATAGCCAGAAAATCCGATACCAATAAATCAATAAATCAAACATTTATAAGACAATCCATACCTTTCCGATGATGAAAGACAGTAATCAGAGTCACTGGTGTCCTGTGTTTTTTCCCGAACCACGAGGCCCTTTTCATCAGACACGAATCTTCAGGACGCGTCTGGACGTTCCCAGTGCTCAGTCTGCAGCAGTTCCAATATTTCCTCCCTGGTGAAATGTGTCGTCGAGACTTGTTTAGACATCTTCCTCTAAATCAATTCCCAAAAAGTGTTGAAAAATAAACCGTAAAAGCTACTCACACGACGCTACAAAACATGCAGAATCTTTGCGTAAACTCGAGTGCGTAATGCTGTCTCTCGTTTTGCTGGCTCTGTTTCACATACGCACGTCGATAACTTTTGATTCCCTTGATGGAGCTCAAAGGTACATACCTCTCTGGCTTCGTCAGAGCCAATAGAATTGAGCTAATCACTTCAAAATGACTGACAGGCCTGTTAGCCAGTCGAAATCATCAAGTCTCCGAAAATAGTGAGGCGCAGGCTCCGGGGTAGATAGCACGTTCCTCCTCTCCCTGAGGGGTGAAATCCCCCCCTCCCAAAGGAAAGGTGTGTCTCTGTCGCTAGACAGGAAGTCCGTTGAACCTTTTCCGGCAAAATAATGCGGGGATATTCGATTTTTCTTCTTGAAAACGTCAAAAGTGAGTCATATTTATGATCATAAAGCGATAATGTGATTTGTGTTGCTGGTGTCTGTTGGCTCATATCTCAGCGATAGTGTGACGGAGATAAATGTTACGGTTATGTCCGTAACCGTTGTGTTCGTGGCGTGCTTTCTGCCATCTCGCTTTGTTTGTTAGCATTAAGCTACGATTGCTAAGTCCGGAAATGTGCAGAGTGTGCACACTTCTGGCGAAATATGAATATGGTGTTGTAGTTATGCTAAAGGTTGGTGACTGAGTTGCTTTTGGAGTATGTTCAAACGGCTTTTATATTATTTTAACCCAGGTTCTGACGTTTCACGTGGTATGTGACATCATTATATTCATAATTAATGTGTTCAATGGTCTAAAAATGACACTACCGAGGGTCCCCAGATATGGGGACCCTCGACATTAAAAGGTTGTTTAACATCGTGTTCAGACAGCGGATGTCTCCCAACGTACGTGCCTCTGATCGTGGGCCTTATTTTCGACCTCAGCAGACGAGGACAACTTTTGTAAACTGTGACTATGTTTATTTTTTTTTTGTGCTGTAGGAAGAGATTTTTGTGTAACAATGACATTGTCTTCATTTATTCTGTTATTGCTGACTCCGCAAAGTCAGACAAACCAAAATAGATCCATAGTTTCTCTCACAATTTTCAAATAAATGCATTTCAACGAGGGTTCGTTTATTGGTTTGAATATTGGAGCGGTGATACGTTTTGAAGGCATCATTCCTGATACTTGACACTCTGTGCAGATATCCTTCAGAATACAGCAATTGTGACTTACATGTCAGTCTTTTATTTCATTTACAAATCATAGCTGCAAAGCTGTCATCTAGAAGTTCTTACAAATGTCAGAGACAAGTCCAGTTAAGCTTGATGTCGCTGCGAAAATGGATTTGTTACCATCTTTGGATGCTATTTCATGATCAGAAAAGACAATCGTTTTTCTAAAAGTGGATATCAAACAATTGAAAATGCCCCATACAGAGAGATGCATACTAAATCACTTGTTCACAAAAAGAGCTCAAAGAAATATTGTCATTACCTGTAACACATACTAACATGGAGACAGTTAAGTACAACAGGCTATATTCGGTGGCACTGTGCTGCACAAACAAATAAATACCAGTAGAAATTTGGCAACGGCAAACTGAAGGCTTGTCACGGTCTAAAGGCACAAACCTAAATAAACAAGATAAAATCTACCATTCAGCATTTAATTTGTGTTCATATACATTTACACTCAGTTATATGTAATTATTGCCTAATACAATCATTTGCCATCTAACATTAAGAGCTGACAATAGGTGTACAGATGTGTCAACAGCTACCAGTACAGTGGTTCTATGGTATTTCCACTTGTATCTATTTTAGGTGGGTGTTGTGTCTACAGAGTCATGCTGCATGGTATTGAGACCAGTGCAACCCCAATGATCAGTACAACTACAGACTACCGGGAGCTGTGTGAGTGCAAAATAAGTCCAACTCTTTCTATTTTGAGCCACATTGTTTCCACTTCTCTTTGTTCATTCCCGCATCTACAGTACGTTGTTAGATTTGTGTCTAAATCCTGAGCACGAAGGGATATTATATTAGCAGAGAAAAACTTTTTTTTTTTCTAACACATAGTTTGCAGAGAAATTATTTTCAGACAAAAAAAATCGGAGAACAAAGTTTACCTGCTTTACTAATTTCCTCTGCAAGAAACTTCTGTACCTTTTTTAAATTTAAAAAAAAGTAATGTATGACTTTTGACTGTTGGTCAGTGTGCCTTATCTCATTTGAATGGCATGCTATCAGCTGGTTTATAGTAATTAGCATGTCAGCTAGCTATTACTCTCAACTCAGGTTGTTACCCTTACATCTTGTACATGCAGTTGTGCTGCTAAGTCTAAACATTTAAGAGCAGTTTTTCAAAAAATAAAAGAAACATTGATTATAATGCCTTTGCTGAGTAGCTGGCAAATAAGAGGTTAGGCAGCTAACTTAGTTAGCGACTGCTTAGCTGCCATCCATCTGTTAGCCAGCTTATTAACCTATCAAGATAGCTAGGTAGACTAGCATACGAGCAGAATTTTATAAATGTTCCAACTAGTGCCTAGTGGTTATGAGGTGAAGTCATGCATACGTGTAGGTTGTTTGTAGCCTAACATTAGTTTTTTACTTCTGGTATTTGCATTCATGCTTCAGAAACCATAAAAGTGGTCTTGTTGAACATAACATTAGTATCATAATCTGTGATAGCCACAGAGCCTATTTCCTGCAATAATCACAAATCGAATGGACAAATCTCATTGGCTTTTTGTGGAGGGAACCGGCACGATGCTAACTTCCGGGTTAGCCTACAAAAATACGTCGTCCCTGCAGCGCTATATGTCCAAACTGTACTTTAGCTGTAAGCTAGCTAGCTGAATTTGCCTTTACCTGCTGTTGGGACACACACAGTAACGCTCTGTCCGGTTGAGGCTACCTTGAGCAGAGATGTTGGGAGAGACACAGCAGGTGTCCAAGGGGTTTGAGAGGACACACAGCGGGGAATGAGTGAGAGGCTATACTGTGCCCTTATACTGTTACAACAAACAGACAAATGCATTTATTGAGCACAGAATAGATATTTGTTTGATCAAATTACATTATTCTTTGTGCATTAATCCGTCAACAAAATAAAATGTATGTGCTTATAAAAAAATAGGTTTCTGTCCCATTTGGACGCTCAGTGTTGAGGCACAAATATAACGGCATACGCCTCATGTGTTCATTAACCCTCACTTTCCTTCTTATATCCAATAAGCTTTGCAAGTGTGTTTCAGCCACTTGCATATAGGGAACAGTACAGTCAGGGTGGGCAGCACCGCGTGTCTGTGTCAAACTCCAGTCCCAGTAGAACTGACCGTCATAATCAGTCTGAAACTAAGAGCCAAGAAACCTGTCCCCAGCAGGTCACCCAGAGCTGTGAGGTAGGGGATGGAGAAGTTGTCTGGATCCAGGCCCCTTCGCCACAGCCATCGCACCATCAGGCTGGCCACGTAAAGCAAAATCAACACCTGGATAGTGACAAAGGATGGATGTGTTTTCAATGAGTGTAATCTGAGATTGGTGTAAAATTTGAAACTAAAACCTTTTTCTGGCAGAATGAGCAACAAAACCTTTATCGGTTCATCTGACCTGAAGCAGAGCTGCAGACAGGTAGCAGACGATGAAGGTGGGCGTCATGGCAGTATGGCCTCCCTGCAGGAAGTGGATGATGTACAGGAAGAGGAGGTGACCCGGGACCACGAGAAGGATCAGGACTCTGGCTGATGTGGAGTTCACATCTAGATAAACATAGAAAGAGAAGTAACAAGCTGTATATATCCCATCAGTTCTGAAGATATGTTCTTGTGTTTCTTAGAAGCATTCAAGGTTTTTTGCTGTATGTTGGTATATATATACTATATATATATATACTACTAGACTTCTTGAATACTACTAGACTTCTTGAATATATATATATATATTCAAGAAGTCTAGTAGTAGTAACGTCTCTGTGTAGTAAACAACTGACAAATCAAATAAAGAAAGTACACATCAATTATATTTTAACAATTATTATTCTCAGTTTTCAAATTTAACTGGATGGATTATAAATAATACATAGAAATACATGAATAAATGTTCTTCTCATTTCAAGTAAAATAACAGCTGGATTAAAAAATAAATTACGTAACGAAATTCATTTTAGCAAAATTATTTTCACTGAATTGCCCTGCAGCTTTAAATTCAGTTCATTCAGGGTGAAGTGATAAAGCCACAATATTATATTTTTCTTATCTTCTAAAAAGAGAAATTAGTGTTGGAAGAATTCAGCTATATGAGTCTGTCCAGTCAGAGTCTAATGACTCTGGTCTCTCTGGACATTCTTCTCTTTTGGATATCGTCCTATGATTTGACTTTTTCAACTGATATTTCAACAGTCAAAGGCAAAGGCCCGTGACCCACTGAAAACGGGTCCGCGACCCACTTTTGGGTCGCGACCCACCAGTTGAGAATCACTGTGTTAAGGGGTACTATGAGTAGCATTGCTAATGGTTTTTTTTCGAAGGAATTGTGATCTGCTAGTTTTTAACAAAATCTGTCTAACAGTGTCTTTTAAGTTCACACGTTATATATTGTTTTATACTTCAGCTTTTGAACAAACTAACAAACTGCACTTGGACAGAGCCAGGCTAGCTAGCTTCCTCCTGTTTCCTGTCTTTATGCTAAGCTAAGCGGCTACTGGCTGTAGCGTAGTATTTACCGCAAAGACATGAGAGTGGTATCGATCTATCTCTCGAGCGAATAAGCGCATTTCCCAAAATGTCAAACTATTCCTTTAAAGTCTTTTCTCCTCGGCTTTACTGAAGAGATTATATGAGTAGGAAGTACTATTGTTTTCTTCCTTTTACTCCTTCCACCATCTGTTAGTGCTAGATGCTCTGACAGCTTCAGCTCTATTTTCATTTACAGAGGAACCATATTCTCCTATTTTATGTCTTTACCAATCTAGGAGATTCTTTACAACTCAAACCTGAGGGCACACCAGGTCAAACACACAGGCTAAATATGGCTGCTAGTTTTCCTGACAGTTGTCTGTATGTTCCATTAAAGCAGTAGGCTATAAATATATATATTTTTTATTTTGGCCACTCGGGCCTCCTGATTAACATTCATTCTCTGTTAGGTCTATTTGGGTCTCCACGAACTCCTTGGGAGAAATACTGTTAGCTGCTAAATGTTACGCTACATTATTCACCAGCTAGCCGTTAGCTTTATGTAGCTGTTGGCTGGTGCTGGGCATGTATCGTATAGTTGTTTTTTGTGGAGCTAGTTTGCTAAAGTTTGCTGCTGGAAACAAAACAATTAGCTAAAACTGACTAAAAAAAGCTCAGGAGAGCTGCAGACAGTGTTGCAACTTTCATTTCATTCATTAATATAAAAAATATTTATTCATGTGGCATTAATAATACTGTCACACGCTTGACTTGGTGATTATTTCTTGATTCCAAATTCCCAGTGAAGGGCTACGCCTGCACACTGCACCTTTACGTGTATTGTTTTCTTTGTCTTACCTGAGGAGCAGAGGGTAGCACAGGGTCCAGGACAGTTCTCACTCATTATAAATGGAAGAGCCCCAGGAACACTCCAGTAGTGGAGGTAGGTGGACATCCTGCTGGCCTGGATGGCCACCAGATTTCCCCCTACACCTGCACGGACATGGAAAAGTGTAGCACTGATCAGTTCCATAATAAACATTTAATAGAGCTGGGAAGATTGAACTGAACATGGCAGTGTGGAGGGTGGAATAAGCGGCCTTGTTGTCCAAGACAAAAAAAATCGAAATATGTTCCAGCTAATAATATGTTTATTATTTTTACAGCATGCCTTTTTCGTTTTTTGTATTTGCTGATGTGTCATACGAGAGGCTGAGAAGTCACTGTAGAATATCAGGGTAAACCGTCTTGGAAAAATGACTCACTGTCCAAACAGCAATTTAGCTTGATATCTATTCAGCAGCTATCCCTAATCGCAGCGTCCCAGGGGACTTTTCTATTTTTCCTCTGAAGGCTTGGAAAAAGCAGTCTGGATGTTGTGCTATTCAGTGCAACACTGCTCGCCCCTCAGGCTGGTTTCATTAGGAGCAGCACAAAACCTCTTGGCTTGCAGAAACGTGAAGCACATGGATCATTTAGACAAAACCAGTGCTTCTATCAGTGCAGGAAAGTACATGTACTTAAGTATTGTACTACAGTAGAAATTAACTTAAGCAATTTACTTTAGCATTCCCATGTTCTGCTACTTTATACATCTACACAACTACATTTCAGAGGGAAATAGTGTACTTTTTACTGTACTACATTTATCTGGCAGCTGGAGCTACTAAGTCACTTTGCTGATTAACATTTTATATCAGAAAAACATGTGATACACTTACATGATATGATGCCATACTACAATCTACCCAGTAGTATATCAGGTATGTAAAAATGGCTCCCGATTGACGAACTACAACACTAAAATGCTATGTATTTGTTCGTCATAAGAACGGTATAATAGAACGTACTATAACAATATAACACGCTGAAAGAAGACATTCTGAGTAAATACAGTAAACATGTATTGTTATACTTGTAAGGGAGTATTTTCAGACTATGTTTCTTCTACTTTTACTTAGGCAAAGGATGTGAATTCTTCTTCCACTAGTGGTTTCTGGCCAAGAGGGAAGAGCACTGAATTGGAATGCAAATGCGCTTCCTGTACTGGGGTGGCAAATCCATGTGGGAGTGTTGGGTAGAACTGGGGCTGGCAGAGATGCAACGGGAGCCAGTGAATGCATAGTTGGCATTCTGATCAGGCTTGTGGTTTATGTAAAGACCATTGTTATCGCTCTCTACTTAGTATGCTGCTTTGTGGGCAGCTAACTTCTGTCAGTAAAGATCTGGCCCTATACACCTCTCTGAGCTTCCTCTGACGGGGGAGGGAGACTGCTCAACTTCAGCAGCACTTTAATACCTCATGATTGATTAATAGCTCAAATTAAGGCCCTTTTAAATACTAATGGGATTAGCTGCTGGGCGTCTGCATGCTCCGACAATTTCCAGTTGACATTACTGATAATAATTAAGCTAATTATGAAGCTTCAATGTCATTCTTCAAAAGATTAAGGCTGTTGAAACCATAACCCCAAATCCCAGCTCTGCTTACTCCTTCAGGAAAACATGTCGGCGTTCATTTCTTTGCTCAAAGCATGCAGAAGAAATTTCACAAATTGTTTCCCCTTCAATTAAGGGGATTATATCCACAATAATATTTACTTGAGGCAAAATTAATCAGAGCTATCTTCCTAATGTCATCACTCGAGGCCTCTAAAATAAGGATCATGTCTGAGAAAGTTCTCAACTGTGTACTTAAGCACATGCAGGTAAAAATAGTAATATCACAATTTAAAAATACTATTACAAAATATAATAAGTAAAAGTCCTGCATTTAAAATAGTATTCAAGTAAAAATAAAAAAGTATCAAAAAAATAAACTTAATACTTAAACTAAAAGTACTGATAATGCTGAGTGGACTCTGTCAGTATTATATTATTATTTAACGGTCCCAGCTGGTCTGGGAACGCCTCGGGATCCCCCAGTATGAGCTGGAAAATGTTGCGGGGGAGAGGGAAGTCTGGGTCAGCCTGTTTGGCCTGCTGCCACCGCAACCCGACCCCGGATAAGCGGAGGAAAATGGATGGATGGATGGTAACAAACTATATTTCTGAAAGTTAGGCTGAAGTACTTTGACAGTATGCAACTTGTATTTAAGTAGTCCTCCACTGCTTTTTATGCACTGCTTATATATGATAAATAGAGAGTTTAGAGCAACTCCAAGGAATTCTCCTTTTGTGTTGATATTGGCGACCACAAACGCCGTGGTCTTTTTTTTTTTTTTTTTTTTTTTTTTTTTTTTTTTTTATTACAGAAATGAAGACCACATTTCCCATGAGCACCAACGCCTTGTAGTGTAAGTCTTGATCTGGCTAGTGTGTGCATTTGCTTCAGAAGTGACTGAAAGAAAGAGGAAACTTGGCTCAGCCACCATAACCCTAAAATGTTACGTTAAAAAAAAGGCACACAATCTCTTCCTGCTTCCTTTTAACCGGCTAGCGTACCAATCACTGTCAAACAATGTAAACACTGGCTCTTTTGTGTGCCATAAATCACTTTTTTATCTTCTATTTTGCAGGGAATCTGACCCGGGGATATAGGCATTATGGTATGTTATAGAAATGACCAATCTTGTCGCTGATTCTTAATTTGCTTATATAGGTCATATAGAGCAGTGGTTCTCAACCTTTTTTCAGTGATGTACCCCCTGTGAAATATATTTTCAGCCAAGTACCCCCTAACCAGAGCAAAGCATTTTTGGTTGAAAAAAAGATCAGTTTCTGATTTATTAAACTGTCAACACTGAAGATTGCATTGTTCAGGATAATGAAATTGAATAGCCTACTGAATATAAAATTAAGTTTATGAACTTATATTTTATTGAATATTTATTACATAACTATTTTTCAAGGATTTTTGAATGGATGCTTAATTTTAAATATATATTTTTTAAATCTCACGTACCCCCTGGAGTGCTTTCACATACCCCCAGGGGTACACGTACCCCCATTTGAGAACCACTGGTATAGAGTAGAGGCATCAGTATTAAATTGATTCTGTTTCATACCCAGTTAAAACCTCCTTGTACTATTGCTTTAAGAGTTCAGTGAACTTCGTCTTCCACTCACCATTGATGACTGGAGTGAACACTGCCATACCCTCGAAGTTTGGGTTGCTCACTGTCTTATCCAGAATCAGTCCACCAATACTGGGAAGAAGAAAACATACAACAATATCCCCTAACATTACTGATTTATTTAAATTAAATGAACATATATTTTAATATTTCAAAACACTTGTGATCAGAGGAAGAACCGTTCTGAATTCGCTGGACCTTCTTAGGGTAGCGTCCCTATAGACTCACCTGCTGATGGACATGGCCAATATGACTGGTTGCCAGCCGGACTTTAGGACCTCATTGATTGGTGGAGAGCGACGGGCAATAATGACCCACGCTGGGGTAAGGAGCAGGAAGAATCCGCACACCGCAGGAGGCAGGTACCACGTGTCTGAAGAGCAACGTAGCCCAGAATACATCTGTAAAAATCTTTGATTGCACTTTCCATATGAGTTAGAAATTGGTGCTTGAATAGTTTGAATGTTTTGGGACAAATGGCGAATAAAAGATTCCATGACAGAGATGATGAAAGTCTTAAGAGATTTCCTGCTGGAGTCTGCTGGCAGACTTTTACCAGAATCAAAGGTGGACTATGCTGCCCTCATCTGGCCAAGTACCCCTTAATACTCCTTAACCACAATGGTACTGCTTTGCAGTTGCAAAAATGTTGATAATCTTTTGCTATTTATCTATTTTAAAGACCATTTTGCATCACAGAATCTGACTTGATTTGGTTGCACCCTCCTTGAGGGGCTCTCTTAATGTAATGTGTGACCTCTGTAACAGAAGAAGAGGCTGCTCACACCAGCCAGCAGAGACAGAGTGATGAGGTCTCCGAGGCTGGCAGCGATTGGAGTGGCCACATTATCTGGGTTAATGCCCACTTTCCTGGATCCAATAATCACTGCCACCATCACCAGACCTGACAAAGAAGTTGAACAACACACTGAGATCACAAACTCTACCCTCCTCTACGTTGTACTCTGTGTACCAGCTGAGGCTTGTGCCTTTGTCTGACCTAGAGACAGCGCAGCGATGAAAGCGGTGGTGACGCTGCTGGCACAGAGGACAGACGCCTGGATAACGTCCACTCTACCCCTGGTCAGACCCCCAAGGCCCACTGCTGCAACAGCTGCCAGGAAGCCCACAACTGTAGCCTGGACCTGGGGACCAAGGACAGTAAAGATGAGTCAGGTGAGTCTCATTCTTCTATCCATAGTATGCATCTCATTATATGTCTGCTGTATCTGTTTATCCTTCTATCTCTTTGTCTGTCCCAGAGGGAACAGAAAACAAGTGGATACTAATTTTAGAGTAAGATGATAAAAGAGAAAATCTTTTATCTTTTTCCATTAGTGGAAAATGGAAAAACAATATGTGTTCGATATGAAATCAAACCAAATCAACAAAATTTCAGATTATTTAAGACATTTTTAAAGAAGCAGTGTGTAGAATTTTGTGGCATCTTGTGGTGAAGTTGAAGGTTGCATCCAACTGAATACCCCTCCGCTCACCCTCTCTTTCCAAGTGTGTAGAAGAACTACAGCTGCCTTCAGTCAAAGTAAAAACGTGAATGTCCCTCTCTAGAGCCAGTGTTTGGTTTATCTGTTCTGGGCTTCTGTAGAAACATGGCGATGCAACATGGCGGACAATTGGGTGAAGGCAGGGTACACCCTGAACAGGTCGCCAGACTACTGCAGGGCTGATGAAAACATTGTTATAATTATTATATTCAATTTCTGCTAATAAATCCCCCTAAACCCTACACACTGTTCCTTCAAGACCCAAGTCTGTATTATAAAATACTGATTACAGAATTTTATTGGATATCATAGAGACAAAGTGAAATTGAGTCCTGCCCAAGCAATTCGTCACTCTCCAGTGACTTTGTATCGCTTGAAGGTGCCTCCTTGTCACTTTTGTCTGCTAGCAGACAACAGAAAGGTGCCTAAAAGCTGTTGTGTGGTGGGATGCACAACCAACAGGGTAAAGAACCCAGAACTAAGTTTTTATAAGCTGCTGAACCCATAAAAAGTGAGGCTACAGGCAGGAGGAATGTGAAAACTGGGGGGGAATACAGACACCTAATATGCCTAACGATACAGCAAGCATGTGGTCCAAATGTCCGTTTTAAGCTAACTTTATTTCTTAACTAAAGCATTTTGACAGTATGCAACATGTTATAGTGGTTTATATATCAGAATGTTACGCAGTCGGCTATTATGTTTGCATGTGTTTTAGCTAACTACAGTAATTTCCTGACACATAGCTAACATTAGCTCGCTAACAGCTAATTTGTCCTATCCCGTCATCATTTTAGATATCAGCTGCACCCGTGGTAAACATAGTGCTAATGCTAAACTAATCATTCCTTTAACATGATGAAATCTGATGTTTTTAAATAGCTACCGGATAGCTAGCTTCAGGCATTTAGCGTTAGCGTTTCAGCCCTCGGATGCACATTGCTTTCCCCCCCTGGTGGGCGTGGTTCTCACAGTGGACTCTCTCTGTTTATTGCACTATAGATATTTTTTATATCAAAATGGCCCTGCACCTACAGAACCAAAAAATACAGACAAATAATAGCCTACTGATTTGAAAACCTCACAGCCCTGCTGCATACAACTGGTAGTTAAGTAATAAAAAGGAAATTCTAGCTGGCAATGGAAGAATTGGCCTAATTATCTTTGTGCTCCACTAACTTATTATAGCTACCATTTGGACACCATCTCCAACTGTCATCTAGTGTGTTTAATCGGCTGAGATGCATTAATGAAGTGAGAGGATGATCTTATCACGCCAGCAAAGCTTCTTGGATTTAATTGAATTGTCTTGAAGCCATGATGGAGTGTGTTATCAACAGGATGGAGAGTCACCTGAATCAGAGCCAGATTACAGAGCACCATCCTCCACTGCTGCTGAGCCTCATCCATCTGTCCCGTGTTGGCCTGTGGACGGAAGCGGGTTCACATAATCACATTTCTCAATCACGTGGTAGTTGTTTTCAAGTGTCGCTGTGCAAATGTATTTCCCACTGCTTGTCAACATCACATCAGAGTAACCCTAACAAATGCTCTGATTGGTCGACAGGGTGCACAGCTAATGAGCAATTACCACTCAGGCTGCAGTCAGGAGGTTGCTCGCTGTGCTACCGATAATGAATCATTATCGACGGATGCTGAAGTTACATCTCTCTCTTGCTCCGTTAAGCTTATGGTTCTCTGTGTTTTGTGTGGAACTGGCTTGGTGCTCATGTTAGTAAGCTGGGAGACAGAATGATAGCATGCATTATTAAGGACGAGCCAGTGGAGTTGGTTGGGACACTGAGTGATCTTTCAATACTCACAGAAGACTTAAATAGTAATGAAAATAATTGAATCACTGAACAGATACAGGTGTCTGCTAACAATTTATCAAAAGGCACAATTTTGCTATGTGTGCTATAAAGTCGGCCTACCTAGGACGCTTAGGACAGTGGGTAGGGACGGCTGGGACACCTTGTTCTGGGCTAAAAACAATAATAATTTAAATAAAAAAAGAAATGCAGACTAAATGTAAGCTGGGAAGTGGAATTTAGCAAAAAATAAAAAAGGGATTCTGACTGGCTGCCGAGTAAACATTCACTCAGTGACTCAGTTCAATATTCAATATATTTTCTGTTTGTGACAGTGTGTTCTGTACATGTGTGAGAGTGTGTGTTCTGTACATGTGTGAGAGTGTGTGTTCTGTACATGTGTGAGAGTGTGTTCTGTACGTGTGAGAGTGTTCTGTACGTGTGAGTGTGTGTTCTGTACACGTGTGAGAGTGTGTGTTCTGTACACGTGTGAGAGTGTGTGCTCTGTACACGTGTGAGAGTGTG